CTCTCTCTCTCTCTCTCTCTCTCTCTCTCTTTATCTATCTATCTCCCTCTCTCTCTCTCTCTCACTCTCTCTCTCACTCTCTCTCTCTCTCTCACACACACTCACACACACACACACACATATACACACATACATGCACACACACACACAAACAAACACACACACATACCCTCACGAACGAAGAAACACACGCTTTCAAATACACTGGCACGTACACACACTCATGCCTTCCAAATTAGGTTTTAGATCAGTACAGTTAATCGCAATCAGCGTCCACACATTAGCAAATCGACGAAAGAATCCCGCAGAAAGATAGAGGGACAAATCGGTTTGGAGCACAGGAAATGATGACATCAGTACTTCGACATTGATGGGCCAAATGGTCGGGTAATGGCGAGTCCTCCGGCTGAAGATAGTTGTAGTATTGAATTCAGCTACGTTTCCCCATACGTGAGAAAACTTCTGAAAGTAAAATCGTTAATGCTTCATAATAAGAGCCGCCCGTTATTTGCTTCAATTTGTACCGATAATGGAAACATGTTTAATCTAAAGTGGAGCAACAGACTTGTCTTTTTTGGCCTCCCAATTTTTACTTTATCCACTCTCGTGAATTTCCATGAAAAAAAATGGAAAGATATCGGTATTTTTTAAAAATGATGATGGTTATCACAGGCTTATTGTATTCTCAAAAGCGACAGAACAGTGTCTGTGGCGTCGGTGGCCTAGTGGTAAGGCTATTGGACTCGCAACCGTAAGGTCGTTGATTCGAATCCTGTCAGGGGCCCGACGTTGTGTCCTTGGGAAAGAAACTTTACATGAAAGATCTTGTCAGTTTGTTAGTGTAAGAGCTCTTAAGTGGTTCCCAGGAAGCTGAGAATGTGTCTGAGGGTTCTATGGTATGCTGGGGTAATAGTATAGTGTAACGCGCATAGAGCTTGGTGTTGAGCGGGGGTATGCGCTATACAACTGCTATTTATTATTACCATTATTATTATTATCAACTGATGACCAACTCCGAAAAATGTTGTTAAGAGTGGAGAAGAGCCAGAACAACTCAACAAATATCCTGAATGCAACCCCTGTCCCCCCTTACCCCCTCGGCCACTTTCTACTTGCCTTTCAATAGTGTTATCCATACTGCAGTCAGACATTATACCAACCTAACAAACAACACAAACCATACGTTCTTATAGGCATATTAGTATTATCTTTTGAGCGGCTCGGGCACAATCCAAAACCCAAGGACTGTCCTTAATTGATAAAGGGCTAAATGAATATAAACTTGTACCTCCAT